CGTCGTGGATGGAGAGGTGGTTTTGGATCTCGATTCGGTCATGGTCAATCGATCTGACATGGTGGAAGCGTCTGAAGTCGTGACTCGTAAATTGGTCGATGAGAGCGACAAGATACGGATAATAAACAGTCTGTCATATTTGAAACCAAAGGGCACCCGTAAACGATGGACTTTAGAAGAAACAGAGCTATTTTTTAAGGGTTTGAGGAAGTGGGGGACTGATTTCCAGATGATCTCCAATGAGATTCCCAATAGAAATCGGTACGAAGTCAAGACAAAGTTCAAGGCCGAGGAAAAACTAAGGCCCGATGAAATAACCAAGGCTATTCTCCGCCGATAATACTGCCTATGCTGTACAAAACCTTTGCTTTTCAACCTTTCATAATATGTGTTGTTTGTATTTTAATTCATAACTTGAAAATTCGCATTTCTAGTATTACATTGCTGGCCAATTACTGTCCCGCTTTCCTTTTTGGGTTTAATTTCACACCCGATCAGATGCAAGATAAAGGAACATCGGATTCTGGTATACCTTTCTACTGATCTGGAAAATGGCTGTTAACTTGGAATCCTATTTTGTATGCTACTGTGTAAAATTTGAGCACTATTAGACAAAAGCTTATTAGAATACTATAAAAAGGACTGGTTGCATGTACTCGCTTTATGAGCGAAAGCACTGCTTTGTATCACTATTGCTGCTGTTGTTTTTGTTTGGGCCGGTGGGATCATTACACAATGGAAAGGACCTGAAGAGAGGGGATCAAAGGCTATTGCTGCAGTAGCTTTTTTGTGAACGCCAGATTAGATATGAGGACCATGTTCTTGATACATTAGGTGGTGTGTATGCGGCAGAATATCCTTTGAAGGCGTATCAGAATAATACCCTGAATAGTAGCCAATAACTTGCCAGACTCCATCCAAAGTGTATTGGATATGGACTGACTTTCAGGGAATGTATGGGAGTATCGATTTGTTTCCTTGTGATGGATAACTTGCCATGTTGGTTCAATGTTTGTGCTTGGTGATAAACGCTCACTGCTAGCAGTTTCGTTAAAATTACCGATACCAGCGAGCTTTTATGGCTTTTCCCACATTGGATTTGCCAATGTTTTGACAAAAAACTGAGCAAGCGAACGAGCGGGCGGGCAAGAGGAGCCCGGGCTGTGGTGTGGAGAAGAGTCCCTGTTTCTCTCTACACGGTCCCATCCTGTTATGGAAAAAAGTCGATAAAGTTTTTAGGCACTATGTGCTGGAGAATAAACCAGGCGACTAGTGCTATAATTTGCAACATGGTGGATGGGGTTTATAGGCGTGACGGGATAATTCAAGACTTGGTGTGTGTGATGATCATGGCAGTTGGCGTTGTCGTCATGAAGGTGGAGGCGGAGGGAGGATGTTTGTCCAGAGCTCAAGACGAGACAGGTTTCGAGCAAGCAAAGGGGGCCACATAATCGCATAGGCAGCCACAACTGGCTGAGTGGTTGTGGGCCAAACACAGTCAGCGCAGGCCATTTTAGTGGTTCAGCCAAAACAAGGACTCATATTGGTCTACTGGTTATTTTAGACTCTCCCACTTCTTTGTACCAACGCAATCACTTTTGTTAGTTTTTTGTGCTCTGTCATTTCCCTCATCCAAAAGTCAACTTTTGCCATTTGTTATTGTGTTGTCGTTGCGCTGTTGCTGTTGCTGTCTCCGCTGCTGCACTCCACCTTCTCTTGACCTGGCTCCTCCTCTTCAACCACCCTCTTCTTTTCCTTCTTTTGCAACTGTTTTATCATTAGCACAGCTTTCTTATCTGGCGAGATTCACCTTGAATCCATAGGCCATTACTTTCAATATTTCCATACCCTCCGTACATACTTCTTTTTCTGCCTTTATTCCCCCTTGGTCTGTCCCTCCTTGAATGGGTCTCCGCAAACAAATGGAGAGTGAACGCGGCTGGAAATTTACCCAATGCTTCGGCGACAAAGCCGAGCTCGAAGAGATGACTGAAGGTATGTGTGCCCATGTTTTTCTGCTATGGCCTCTTCATGTCTGCCTGCCTAGACTTCACCTCGTCTAAAAGCATATGCGAGCGAAGCCCTTTTGTCACTCTCAATTGCAAGGATGAGTTACAAAAACCCAAATCTTCTATATATGGATTTCCACAGCTAGCAATTTTCAGCAATCTGGTACAATTTATGTTACCCTCAAGCCTAATTGGGGGCGTGTGTGAAATATTCCAGCCCTTCCCTCCCCTTTTCCCCAGTTTTCTTTGCGACTCGGGGTATAAAGGAATGGTTCCCACAGAATGAGCAGAGCGTATATTATAGACGCCTTTATTAACCGTACTAAACCCTGTTTTGAAATCTTGTGGCCTTTCTTTCTAGCCGACATCATTTCGGCAGTCGAATTCAATCAAGACGGTAGATATCTTGCTACCGGTGACCGAGGCGGACGTGTTGTTCTTTTCGAAAGAAGCGATAGCGTAAGTGCATTAATCTCCTCAAGGTCTTCGTTTAAGCACGCATATATGTTATATTTATATGAACGCAGGGGGCATATAGGCTGCTATCATGCTTGTGCCGATGGCTGCGTGATCCTCTGCTGCATTTCGATGACGCATTTTTACTAATAATATACGTCTTGCTTTTTAGAAACACGGCTGCGAATACAAGTTCTATACAGAGTTCCAATCTCATGAGCCAGAGTTTGACTATCTAAAGAGTCTTGAAATAGAAGAAAAAATCAACAAGATAAAGTGGCTTCCATCGACAAATGGCTCTCTGTTCATGCTAACAACAAATGGTAAGCTTGCCACAAGGTGTCATTATTTCCAGCCAGATAATATAGTGCTGCAGGATATATATGCGTATATAGACTGCTCCTTGCCCCAGGGTTGGCTCTAACCAAATCTGGTCTTTGTACTCGCCCTTAATAGACAAGACCATCAAGCTGTGGAAGGTCTGTGAAAAGTCACTCAAGATGGTAACAGATAACAACCTTCAGGATGGAAAGCTCATGCCACCGCCGTCATTTTCAGATCTGAAGCTTCCTCAGCTCACGCCACACGAGAACATCATTGCTGCTATACCCCGCAAAATATATGCGAATGCACATACATACCATATCAACTCTATATCGGTGAATTCTGATAACGAGACATACATTTCGGCTGACGATCTCCGCGTAAACCTCTGGAACCTGGGCATCAACAACCAGAGTTTCAATGTCGTAGACATCAAGCCTGTCCACATGGAAGACCTGACAGAAGTAATCACGGCAGCAGAGTTCCATCCTATTTCTTGCAATCTCTTTATATACAGTAGCAGCAAGGGCACCATAAAGATGTGCGATATGCGCGATACTGCCCTGTGCGACTCCCAGGCAAAGGTATTTGAGGTTGAAGAGGACCCTTCATCAAAGAACTTCTTTTCTGAGATCATATCTTCTGTATCTGACGTCAAGTTCAGTGCTGATGGCCGATACATATTATCGCGAGACTACCTGACTGTACGCGTTTGGGATATCAGGAATGAGTCTGAGCCCGTAAAGTCCATAAATGTCCACGACTATCTCAAACCAAAGCTGTGCGACTTGTACGAAAACGACAACATATTTGACAAGTTCGAGTGTAGTTTTGGTGGTTACAGCGGTACCCATGCTATGACGGGGTCATACAACAACTACTTTAACATATTTGATCTTAACAATTCCGAGAACGATGTAATGTTGCAGGCTGACAAGAATGCATTCAAGGCCAAGCGGGTAGCTGGTCCTAATGGCAGTAAGAGCAAGGTCGGCGTTCCAAGAAATGGAAGGCACGGTATAAGAAAAGACGAAATCAATATCGATAACCTCGATTACAGTCGTAAAATCCTACATGCCAGCTGGCATCCCAAAGAGAACACTCTGGCTGTTGCTGCCACGAACAACCTCTTTATATTTACTGATTAATAAGTTCCGCCTATATACCGTAATACAACCCTGACCTTTGATCTTAAAGCGTGTATAGCAACTTCTGTACCCCTACACACCTATATTATTACTTACCAAGCTCCATTCTCTTGCCCCCTCTACACCTCACTAACTTTTCAACAAATCTTGCTTTTACTTGATGTGGTGTTTGCATTCAAGATTTTAAAGCATTGCTACCATTACATACACACAGACATATTACCAAAGTCTGCTATTTGCACCAAGTGAGGTAAAGAGTGTGAGAAAGCGAGCGTTGCTCCTACTATCGAAGTCGGCAAAAATACATAGCACAGCGCTAACACTACTACTACTTGCGGGATTCAGTTAAAGCCTCATATAATTGACAAAAATACACTAACCAAAAAGTCTCTCCTTCGGCAACTCTCCATATATTACCCCCTTTTTACACTACCACTAACTACTATTATCACTATTACTACTAACAATGTTCAAAATTTCTATTTTGTCTATTTTTTGTTTGGTTTTATTAACGCTTGTTCGTTATACAGCCCTTCCATTCTATTAGCTTACCTTGTAATATTGTTATCATGTGCGTGATTATGTAATATGCTTGTTGAATTGTGCATTATGACCAAGAAGAAATTACATGGTCCAAAAAGGTTATTTCTTGATTATAGGGCCTATAGTAATGCGTGTTCATGGTAGTAGGAACTAATTTAAACATTGTAAAGACAATACATTTAAGCAATTGTACGAAAAAAATGACAATAGCAAAGTCAAATATTGTTGATATTAAATTTTTTTACACAATTAAAAATTTATATAGTCTAATCTATTAACTCTAGGAAAATGAACTAGGGGGAATTGATAAAGACATAAAACAATTTGAAATCGATTGAAAATAAGGATATATGTTTGAAGCCTTCATGATACCTCGTAATATATCAAAAATATCCTTCAAAAGATAGGATAGAAAAGGCAAAAGGATCGCTCCTGGGTGGGCTCGAACCACCAACCTCTCGATTAACAGTCGAACGCGCTAGCCAATTGCGCCACAAGAGCAAGTAAGAGGAGAGAAGTGCGTCACCTGCAGGATTCGAACCTGCGCTCACAAAGTGAAACGGCTTAGCAGGCCGCCGCCTTAACCACTCGGCCAAAGTGACTAACTATTTTTGTTGCCAAAAGGAATTTCATGTTGTAGCTTGCTTGTTCAGCAGCTGGTGTGTTCTCAGGAGTGGCCTTGTCCTGGGGCAAAGAGGAAATATCTGTCATGGCTAGTAAATAATAAGGGAAATAATGTTTTGGGTTTTTGTAATATATGGATTTTTTATATGGGTTTTATAGATGATAATATAATGAAATAAAGTAAAATTAAGAATAGAAGAATTAAATTTGGGGGGACAAAAAGGCTGTGACTAGGTGAAGACTTCTAACTCTAGAAGATGATAAAGCTCAAGAAAAGTAAAGAATAAAACAACTCTGTATATTATTATATGGTAGAGCTAACATCTGTCTCTTTATAGAGAAAATTTCTATATGGCCACTATTATATGATTCATCTATCTAGCAAAATAGGCCGTTATCCAAACATTAAAACAATATATATAAAAACATTATAACAATGAACCAGCACAGCCACCATAAACAATAGTGATTTAGTTGGAAGGCCATTTGAGCCTTGAGCCTACAAAGTCACTACATTTCGTCCAATCATATTTTACTTGTAATTGCCATACGTGTCATATATAACATTTCACTATTGTATGATTTATGCACTCAGCAACCAAAGTTTGTCTAACAACACTGATTCTCGTATTTAGATTATTTAAACACTAAAACAAGCCGTTCTTTTTTTGGTAAAAGCATTATACTGATAGATACTTATTATTAATTGTTAACCACAAAGTTTATATTGCAACATGATAAACTTTTAATGCTTATAATTAAATACAATAGTACATTGGTCTATGTTACATCAATAGAAACTATAGCTCTTTGAAACGACACCCAGGTGTTTGGGGAAGGATAAGGATGTTTTAGTTTTATTAATGCCTTTACTTGTAGATGTCTTCATAAAATAGAGTAGCTAGATTGTGTCTGATAAAGAAAGCACATACAGATCCAAATATCTGGAAGCTTATAACATACCATGCTAATCTGCGTTCTGTCATTGGGCCAAACCTGACAAGAAATAGGTTAAGTAGCGTAAGATTGGAGCAGTCTATCAAATCACCATTGTTGTTGCGCTTTACTGATACAAGACCTAGCCGATCCATCGTTTTGATTATGACAAGACCAATATGTGTGGCATCTGCCAACCTAGTCCGACTTGGTTCCATGAGTTCAACCACATTTTTGTTAGGCTTTTTATCATCCTTGTCGTACTCGTCCGTTTTCTTGGACGATGTAAATTTGACAACAGAGGGTAATCTATGCCGGGGGCATGGGACCAGGCGAAATAACTGGGGACAAGAATATATGAAGTTTAATATCTGAGGAATAAACAGCAGCAAAAGGGTTTTGGAAAAGTGGCCGAGAATGCCGACAACAGCAAAAGTCATTCCAGCGAAATAGCAATACGTGTCTCCAACGAATACTTTTGCGGGAAAGCGATTCCAGTGAAAAAGGGCAGCAGACACAGCAATGAATGGGAGTATCAGGTATAAGGAGAATAGGTGGCAGTAGGCAGTGTCTGGGTTGTCACTGTTGACTCTCATCAAGTTATAAATGGCCACAGAGATGCCAATAACTAGAGACTGACCAACCTCAACTCCGTTGATACCAGCCAGAATATTGATCGAATTGGTGCAAAAAACTGCCATCATTCCCATATAAACATAGTATATGACACCCAAATCCAACGATTGGCCAAGAAAATCGCGAAACTGAAAGGGTACCATTACAAACGTAACTCCATGGGACACATAGTACACCGTAAGTAACGGAATTGATGCTATTGTTGGCAAGACAAGCTTGAATCGCCACCTCAAGTTCAAAACATCGTCAGCAAACCCAAGGAATATCATGCTTTGCAATGAAAGAAGCGCCGACAGGTACTGGCCCATTTTGTTGTACGGAAAGGTATGCGACCACGATATGGGTGTGCTATGTTGGTCATCGTTGGGTGTACTGGTCATCCATTGTTGGAACTGAATAGGTATAAACAAAATTGTAGTGACCATATATATAGTAGCGGCAATGATTCCCATGCTTTCGGCCAATACAGGATGACTTGGTTTATTCATGTCTTTGCCAGAAAGCCCCGCTTTTATAAACATATCCTTGACCAGAGGTATTATATGCCAGGTCCACAGGGCAGCTACGATCGATATACAGAAGCATGCTGTCAATGGGTTGGACTGGGAAAGGTATACCAAAAGTCCAAGCGTCGTAAATGCCTTTCCGCCAACAGGAATCCTAGGCATTTCTGTGTATTATGTGGGTTCTACAATGTTTAAAGTGGTTTTAGGGGGCTTATCCTCTCTTGTATAGTATAGGAAACCCACGAAAGTTAGACACCTTGAAAGATGTTTCATAGGCTAACTTTATTAACATTTAGATGTTTATAGTGCTGCTTCAATTATGGGTATCCTTGTAATGATCTGTTGTTCTATTCTACCACAGTAGTGATCAGTGGCCCAAACAAGCAGGAATTGTTTTAGCTGAGACCAGTGGTCTAAGAGCTGGTTCTGAGTTTAAATTAGAGTAGTGCTGTTTAGTGTAAAGCAGATTCGCCATCAAAAGTGAACCAGTTTGTTTTCCTATGTTTCATACAAACTTGGCATAACGTCCATACATTTTAGGTTGGTATTGGAGAGATTGTTTTGGTACGCTCTTTTAGAAGAGACTCTGCCATATACATAAATATAGATAGAGTATCTTTGAGCATGATCTATAGTTATGACGCCAATGGTGCGAAAGGTATCGGTGAAACATGCTTTTAGATATCAAACAATAAATAGGGTTGAAGCAATGGATATTTGTAAAGACTCATTAATCAGCATTATTACCCCATAACTGTGGGTAATTTCCCGTATGAATATTACTTAGATTACTTTTTAGAAAGTCAAGGGTATATTGTCATTATACAGCAGTATTTCTATAAAAATCTATCCGTCAGTTGATAATTAGAATGAAGAGGGCCTTAAGTTCAGATGAAGGTAGTGAACTGCGACCTCAGAAGCTTTCCAGGGATGATATTGAACCTTATGTAAAATACGAGGCAAGTTGTTTTATCAATCAAATTGCCTCATATTATTTATTTTGGTCGGAATGCGATGGTGGTGCTTGTCAAGCTATATCTGTTTTCATCAAACAATCAATTTACTAAGGTTTTAAAATTTCCAATATTTGTAGGAGCTATGGCAACTTCAAGGAAAGATCTCATCTCTAGGGTGGGAGCTTGCAAAAAAAGAATTGGCAAGGGTATCAGCAACCTGTAGATCAGAACAGACTGATGCATCAGTTAAGGTATATATCATTATATCTATACAATAAGTGCAAATATCAACATCAGGCATATAAAGTACATATCATTAATGGCTGTAACATAATAGAATCTTGCCATTCGCATTGGCGGCAGAATGTGTGTTCACCCAAATGCAGACTCACGAACACTTGTTAAGACACTCGTGGGTATTTTGCCTGTTAGCACGGTAAACCAGAGGTACCAGATTTATCACCAATTAGCCAAGATTCACAAGGTTAGATACAAATATTTCAATTTACTATTGATAATCGTCACCAAAAAGCGTAATATTCCAAGAAGTTCACTAAATATTTTTAATTTTTCACAAATAGATGAAGGGAATTGACAATGTCCTTCGTGAATTTCCTGATGAAGTCCAGATGCTTGAATCAAATATTCTCAAGGATACCAATAATTCCAACAGTAACCTTCGGTGCATATGTATTGTGGCGTATACCCATCTGTTTCTAAGTGGGTTGTTAGGAAAGAGTCAGATAAGCGTATCTATTGATAAAGAGGTTACAGAGAAAGACAGCAAAAATAAGCTGGTGGAGATTCTGAGTCGATATCTCAATGATCCCGAGTTTAAAATCAGGGCTACAAGCCTTCGAGTTCTCTTAGATCTATACTATGCTGGTCATCATTTGGATGTTCAGCTCTACGATGTTTGTGTTTTGGCTACAAAAGATGAGCATTACCAGGTTCGGTTGTGTGCTATGGAGCTACTTAGTGCCATTTCACAGTTATATCCTGAACAACCAGTATCAATTCAAAAGAATTATACTATGGAGCACATCAGGCTGTTGGACGATGCATTTGTAAAGATATGTGATATGATCAACGACACATCAGTAATCGTTAGACAGAGGGCTTGTGCTGTTCTAGGCCGTTACTACAATGTGGGGATGAAGTTCTTACTGCAGACTCTTAGTAAGCAAGTGATGTCCAACCTAAAGCGCTATGCCCCAAAAGGAAGACGCGAGGCCAATAAACCAGGGTCAAAATCGAAGGGAAAAGGTGGAAAAGGGTCTTCTATCCCAACACCATCTGGAGATGCGGATGTTGAGCTAGAGTCTATCCGCCTCCTAGATTCTGGAGCCGCAGGTGCATTTGTTCATGGACTAGAGGATGAGTACCAAGAGGTACGAGATGCTGCCATAGAATCCATTACAGAACTAAGTATTAGGAGCTCCGAATTTGGAGAAAAAACCGTTGATTTCCTCGTCGACATGTTTAACGACAGCAGCGACATTGTCAGGCTCAATTCCTTAAAGGCACTGAATAAAATCGGCTCACAAATTCCCATCCAGTTTAATGATGAGCAACTATCAATTGCCCTATCGGCCATGGAGGATGCTAATCCAGTAATTCGAGAAAGCGTACATTCTATATTCAAAGTGTCCAGGATGGATAGTGTAAAAACCTTGACTAAGCTGGTTGAGAGCCTGCATGGTAACATTGACAAGTACCCAGAAGATAAAACGTCCATTTGGGAGACTTTCAAGAGCATTGGTGAACTGCATTCAAACATTATCAGCTCGGACTTTGTCTGTTCGTTACTTAACCTCAGCACACAGTTTCTCAATAGAGAACCCAGCCTTGAGGATTCAAAGTATACGGCAAATTTGATCATGATAATGAATATCGACATAGATAAAAGAAAAAAGCTCCAAGAGGTTTTGCCAAAATTTGTGT